TTAAACGTTACAGGAAAAAACGTAATTACAAAGAATGCCACTGCCACGTCAGCAAAACCGCGTCGCCACGTCAGAAATCGCTGACGTGTATTAATGAACTCAGCCGTCGAGCGATATAGCGGCAGTGACGGCTGAGTTACGGTATGTTGCGGCTGATTTAAGAAAAATGGCTGAGTTATGAGCAAACGGCTGACTTACGAGTATAACCCAGCCTGGAGTTACGGCTGACTTACTGAAATCTGTCTGAGTTATGATAAAATGGCTGACTTTCGAGCATAACCCAGCCTAAGTTACGGCTGAGTTTTCACCCGATGGTTGATTTGTCAAATTTTTGGCTGAGTTATTGCTTCGACACGGCTGACTTAACTTTCTCCGGCTGGCTGAGTTATCAAAGACGGCTTAGTTATGTGATGACGTTACGGCTGATTTATGTTCGAGTATCATAAATCAGCCGTAATGAGCTGGATTAACGGAAAACTCGGCCTTATTATGGCTGACTTAGTAGCGAAAGATTAATTACTAGAATAGCATGCAATGACGGCCGACTTATTAAACGACACGACTGAGTTAAATATTTTTGGTTGAGTTACGACAGTAAACTGCTGAATTTGGCTGCCGTTTTTTTCGTTTTTTAATTACTGTAATAGTATTCATGTTGCGGCTGAGTTAAAGTTTTGTTTGATGGCTGGTTTAATTAAGCTGATTTACATTTTCGTTTGGTGGCTTACTTGCCACTTCATCAATTAAAAAATGACGTGGATGCAACATTCCATGTCATCATTCCATGTCATCATCATCAAAGGACAAAAAAATAGGGCCAAATTTTTTCAACTCGTCTTCTTCACCTGAGTTTATCACATCACCGGAACTTCCAATTCCTCATCGTCTTCCTCATTCTTCTTCAATTTCTTTCATCCTTCTCCCGATATGGTTGACCCGGTTCCGGTAATTGGGTATAAAAACACAAATACGTATTTAACACCGATGAAAGAGGGTGTAGAGTTGTGCAGATAGATGCGAAAACAACGCACGAAAAACTTGTGAAGTTGGTGCTCGATGATAAAGTTAGAGGAAATGTTGCGTCTCTTATTGTTTCGCTGCAAATTTACATGTCACGGCTGAGTTATATGCTTAAGGGAAGACGAAAGGTTCGGTCAATTTACATGTCACGGCTGAGTTATATGTTCCAGGGAAGACGAAAGGTTCGGTAAAATTACATTACGGCTGAGTTATATGCTTAAGGAAAGACGAAAAGTTTGGTCAATTTACATGTCACAGCTGAGTTATATGTTCCAGGAAAGACGAAAGGTTCGGTAAAATTACATTACGGCTGAGTTATATGTTTAAGGGAAGACGAAAGGTTCGGTAAATTTACATGTCACGGCTGAGTTATATTCTCCAGGGAAGACGATAGATGGGTGTAAATTATATGTTACGGGTGAGTTATATGCTTCAGAGAAGACGAAAGGTTCGGTAAATTACATGTCACGGCTGAGTTATCATTCAGGGAAGACGAAAGGTTGTGTAAATTATATGTTACGGCTGAGTTACATCACGTTACGGCTGAGTTACATCACTTTACGGCTGATTTATAATACAGATCGGAAAGCAACATTTTTTTGGAGAAGACAATATGAAATTTATTGGTCAAATAACAACAATCAAATTAAGATTCGTAAAAATATGTTTGAGGGATACATAGGAGGAAGACTAAACCGTATGAATCAAAACATAGATAGAAGTAGAAATGTCTCCAAATAGATCGATTGAGAGGAAGATTAAACGAGAGACATGTAAAATCAAAGTAAAAGAGTAGCTATTCTTGATTTCAACTCAAACCTGTAACGAATCATGTAGAATTCCATAGATCTCTTTGTTTTGGGTTTTGATTTTTGATGACTTTTTTCGTGAGCGTGGTTGCGAGTAGATCTGACGAAGCTTTTGATTTGGGACCCTATGGCAAGCGTTGTGGCTGTGAGGTCTAGGAAGATCCAGCCCAATCCTGCAATTTGAAGATCTCTGTCAATGTTGTACCCAAGTTAGTTGCAGATTATTAGATCTAAAAGCTTTTCTTGGATTTGGAGACAAAAAAAAAGAGAAGAGGAGAAATGATCTAAAAGCTTTTCTTGGATTTGGAGACAAAAAAGAGAAGAGGAGAAATAACGTGAGTTTGAGGAGTGTGAGATTGTTGATGTGGATTAATGACATGGATAATCAAATTTTTATTTATTATTTTTAATTAAAAACGAATTAAAAATTATTAATTAAAAAAAACTAATGAAGGGTGTTAATTGTAATTACACAAATGCTCAAAACATATGAGTAATTTTTAGAAAATGTATGATATTCTAGTAATATTCGAACTTTTGGTTAACATCTGAGTAAATATTTCTAAATTTTTTATGCAAGAAAAGTTAGTGATGGGTTTTAACAAAAATTCATTTAAAGAAAACACTAAAACCATATACATATATGTAAATTTATATGACTATTAATTTATGTTATAAGTAGGACTATATGTTTACATAATTTTTTTTTTTTAATAGTTTGTTATTATCTTATCGAATTTTGTTTATTTTCACAATGCATTAACTTGGAATCATAAGATTTATAGTATTTATTAATTTATCGAGTATTAATTTATATAGGTTTTAGTATACTTTGTGAAAGCACAACACATAATCCATATGTCCACATCCGAAGATTTCAAGCTTACACATTCAAGGTTCCAATTAAACGTGAAGTTGTGTCAAATATTGTGAGATAATTTTGGAAAATGAGGAGAGCATGCATAAACTGATAAATGTATTCATGTTGAAGACTGAATTAGCTATCAGAGTCTATTGTGCTATATTTGAACCAAAAAAAAAAAATCTATTGTGCTACATTTTGTTTATATCTTCATATGATTCGATCGCTTTGTTCTAGGTAAAATATCAGAATCTCAACAAATCTTTATATCGTTAAAAAAAAAAACATTTTTTTATGTCTATTGAACTGTTGTGTCCACTGAACTGTTGTCAAGGTTTAGTGACAACAATACCTGACTCATGTTTGTCCAAGACATAAAGCCTATGAAAAAAATCCAACGCGTAGGTTTCTACTTGGCTCCATGTAATATCTGCCAAGTACACAAAATAACTTTCCAATCTTTTCTGAGTCTGGTTGTCGTAAACTTTGATACTAATTGAGCAAAGTAATACTCCCTCCTTCTCTCTTCTTACACACTTAGACACCCATGAATTGTAAAGGAATATTATACTCTGTCTACCTAAAAATACTAGACCATACTTGCTTCCGACAAACTAAAAATGGCTTCATGAAACTTGGAAATTTCAGAGGTTATCTTGAATTCATCGATTAAATACCAATGCCAAATGCCACGTGACACAACAATATAACCCATTGAACCTAATTTTTTGTGTGACGTGGATGGAGATTTTAGAAGCATATAGCTGACATGGCAGTTTAAGGTAAAAAATTAGCAAGCTGATGTTGATAGCTTGAGAAGCCTCATTGAGCTTCTTTTATTAGTAAGAGATTATGTAAAATTTTGATTGAAATATCAATATTATATTATTATAATTACAAAGAAAATTAGAACCAGACTAATTCAATAAATTTAATTGTTGTATTAGCTCAAGTAAACATGTATATTTTTGGGTAGTTAAAAAAAGAAGAATTATTGATATTTGACATAAAAACGACGAAAATCAATCCAAAGTTTTTGCTATATGAACTTCAATAAAATGCATTTTTTAAACACCTGAATCATTGTAAAATTTTAATTTCATACATGAATTACTAAACGTAATGCGAAAACTAACATTGACTTAAACAATGTAAGTCAACCGTTAATTTCAGATGACTCAACCGCCATTAAATAGTTGACATGACAAATGATTCGTTCAAAACAACGTCATTTTGGCTATAGTGCATACATAGAATGGATCGTTCACGTCGGTCACATCTTCGTCTATGATTGGAGTCTTTCCCATGCTGGAACTGTTCGTACACTTCTCAAGGATATCCCATTGATTTGTCATCTATGATCTTTCTGAAAGAGGAGACTTCATATATACGCATTGGACTGATCTGGAGGATCCAAAAATCTATAAGCCATACGTCGCCGCAGTTGCTTATTCGGTGGACTTTTTCCAAGTTTCGATTGTCTATAAAGGGAGAACTTTGTTCTCCATATATACAAGTCCACTCTCCAAGCCGCTGTCGTCATCAATCTCGAAGCACGTCTAAAATTAATGTATTAAAAAACTGCTCATGAAAAAAAAATTCCTTTTCATTTTAGTTTTTCGATTAAGTTTTAATAATAGTCTTTTAATTATTGTACACATTTAGAACAACTTTGTTTCGAGTAATTATATGTACCATGATCACTCATTTTGAACCAATCACTTGCCATGTCAACCGTCTAGTAGGCCTCTACATTCTGATACCCATTCTGGTTCGGATCGATTCCCTGTAGTTCGGTTAGGGGATTCTAGGATTCATTTGGGTTTTATAAAATTTTGATTCGGGTTTGGTTTTGTTTCATGTACTAAATTTAAATCTAAATAAAATTTGGCTAAATTTTGAAAAATATAACCAAGAACTTTAGGATATTTTGGTTATTATTTTTAGTATTTTGGTTATTTCCATCTAAAAATAAATGATATCTCCGGCTTTAGGTAGATGCATTATAACAAGAGTAAATATAACTAATATTTTGGATATATATTTGTATTTCAAATATTTCGGATATCCATATAGTTATGGTTTTGTTCGGGTTCAGTTCTGATTCTCCAGATATAGGAGTCTAGAATCCGTTCATGTATTTTGTCAATTTTTTTGTTTGTTTCGTTTTCATGTATTTTGTCCCCATCCACAGTTTAGTCATCGAAAATTAATGGTTGACTGATACCGTCCGGTTCAATATTGGTTTTAGTTTTAGCATAATGTTTAGTAATTTATAAAATTTAAATTTTACAACGGTTCGGTTTGAAAAAGAAAATGCAATTCTATTAAAATTGGTAGACCAAAACATTCGGGCTGATTTAGGCCTTCTTTCCGATATTTATCTCCGCAACCTTTGGCGTATCTTCTTCTATCAGATTCCATACTAATCGGAAAAAATGGCACAGAAACTTAACTTGACTAATCTCGCCGTCGCTCCGGTCACCCACCGCTCTAACTTCCCTTCCACATTCACCTTCGGCGTTGCCACTTCCGCTTACCAGGTCTATCTCTCTCTCAGCCTCCGAGATCTGAACTTTCATCTTCTTCTTTCTCGTTTCTGCTTCGTCTTCTACTATTTCGTGTACAAATTTGTTGATTTACTTGGATTTTCTGCGAATGTTGATACCAGAATTGAAGTACGAATCGAATTTTAAGAAGATTAGATGGATTTCTTTTCAATGTGGTTTGAAGTTTGTGTAGGAATAGGCTTGGTGCTTCAGATAAGCTCTGTTGTTTTGTTATCACTTAGCTTAAGTATTGATAATGGTTTTATAGATTGAAGGAGGTTGGAATGAAGGTAAAAAAGGACCAAGTATATGGGATAAGTTTACTCATCTTGAAGGTTTGTTGTGTGGTTCTTTTTCAGCTTATCCCGTGTTAATCGATGAAGACTAGGTAGATTTTTAACTGTTTGTTTCCTCTTATTTAGGGAAAATTCTTGATGGAAGTAACGGCGATGTTGCTGTGGATCATTACCATAGATACAAGGTAATCTTTGTGAGGATCTTTCTATGGTCTGTATATTTCTTTGCTTCTAATATTTTTTGTTCCAATAATGTTTCAGGAAGATGTTGAACTTATAGGACAATTAGGATTCAGTGCTTACAGATTTTCTATATCCTGGTCTCGCATTTTCCCTGGTATGTTCAATTATGTTGTCGTTTAAAGTTGGATAATCTATAATGTGTCCGTTCTGCAGTTTACTAGTCCATAGCTCTCTGTTTATACTTTAATCTTTATACTTGTGTTGTGCTGATTTCTTTATGTGTAAGTACATTGTCCCTAGTCATAGTATAACCCATATAGTAGTTGTTGAAAATGTCAAGTACATGTATATCTTTTCATGAGTAAGTTTATGTGTAATTTTGTATAATGCGAGCATTGGAGAAATTCTTGTGATGGGAAGGTTTACTTCTCCTTTAGAACCTTCATCATTTGATCTTTGATTTCGGGGGAGCATTTTGTTTGTCTTTTCATCTTTGAAATGATGGATCCGTATTTTCCTTCGAGATCCTTTTATAGCTGTGGGATTCCGTTTAAAAACATGAAATCTTGAGTTCCTTTAGCATTGATGCATGTGGCCATAAAAAGAACTGTAAACCAGTATTTGTTGTCTTCTGGACTTCCTGAAAAATATAAACATTTGCCGATTGAAGGGCTTATTGTCTTCGTTTCTTAACTTTTCTAGATGGCTTGGGAACTGAAGTCAATGAAGAAGGCATTGCTTTCTACAACAATCTCATCAATTCACTTCTCGAAAAAGGTATTTACTCTAACTGAAATGAGCTTTTTCCTCTTTGTGTGGATGATACTTTGACGGGATGATTGCTACTGCAGGTATTCAGCCGTTTGTAACTCTGTACCATTGGGATCTCCCATCCCATCTCCAGGAAGCAATCGGAGGTTGGACAAATAGGAAAATTGTGTAAGTAGTAAACTCTAATGGACTATTTCAGTTTATGTGTGCTATCGTTGGAAGCAGAAATACAATTAATTTTTGAAGTCTTATGTATGATCCCTTTCTTGTGCAAATTTAATTGGGTTAATCATATTTAGTCTCACAACACCAAGGTTAGGTTATGCTTCAGAGGGCTAATTTCTTTCATTTTTTCACAATTATTCTATGAAGCCTTCCTCTGGCGGAAATATACAATCCAGCACATTTCATAGAATTTACTGTTTTGACAGTAAACTTTTCTTCACGTGCAGCGATTATTTTGGCCTCTATGCAGATGCTTGTTTTGCCAATTTTGGTGATAGAGTGAAACACTGGATCACATTAAATGAACCTCTTCAGACCTCGGTGAATGGACACTGTATTGGTATATTTGCACCTGGAAGAAATGAGAAGCCCTTGATCGAACCATATTTGGTCTCGCATCATCAGGTTTTGGCCCATGCAACTGCTGTTTCCATATATCGAAGCAAGTACAAGGTGTGATAGCTTTTTATTGTGGTTAAGCAACCTAATTTTGTTTATTTTACTTGGACCTTTGGTTATGGGAAGATGTCCCAAGGGTTCTGTTGATGACATATGGTACCTTTATCAATGCATCTCAATTGCTTGTTATTTACCAGTGTGCTTTTGGGTTTACATATATTAATCTAGGAAAGTCAAGGTGGACAAATCGGTTTGTCAGTTGATTGTGAGTGGGCAGAGCCAAACTCAGAGAAACCGGAAGACAAGGTTGCTGCGGATAGGCGAATTGACTTTCAACTTGGATGGTAAGTAGGATGCGCGCATTGAGTGCTTTCTTAATCATTAATATTTTGAATGGAATCGTATTGCTGATGTGTTAATATATAAATGTGGTGTCTCTGTAGCTTATACCCACAGCTGCACCATAACTTTGTGAAATTTTGTAGTAAACAGAATTCTGCTTTCTATAGTTTATGACTTTTGGGAATAGTTTCTGGAATTACGTCATTGATTTTATATCTTGTAATGGTAGGTAGTTCAGAATATATAATCCACTAATTTTGCTGTGGAATCTTAAATAGTCTTTTGTGAGTGATATTCCCTTTCTTACTCTATAGTAAACTTTTCATATTTTAAAATTGCATAAATGCCATTTTTGATTAAGAAAGTGGTAATATCAAATTATCATAAACTTCAACTATTCGTCAAATGACTTACACACTTACAAGTACATATCATTCCTTAAAATAACAAATTAAAATCATTTGCAGGTTCTTGGATCCTTTGTTTTTTGGAGACTATCCTGCAAGTATGCGCCAGAAACTTGGAGACAATCTTCCTAGATTTACTCCGGAAGAAAAGGAGTTTCTGCTTCAAAACTCATGGGACTTCCTTGGCCTGAACCACTATACTACGAGGTTGATTTCTCATGTCTCAAATAAAGAAGCTGAGAGTAACTTTTACCAAGCACAAGAACTGGAGAGGATTGGTAACAAACACTGAAATTTCTTTTGCTAATAGCATCTTCTTACTTGTTTTCTAGTGTATTCATCATCTATTTTTTTCCGTGCACAGTTGAACAGGAAAATGGAGAGCTGATAGGCCAAAGGGTAAGAATTCTCTTCTTAGTCTCCACTCAATCTAATGATTTTATCGACATTTCTGCACATCTGCTAAAGACAGGGACGCGTAAGCTAGTAATCAACTAAATAATTTGTGCCAATTACAGGCTGCTTCGGATTGGCTTTATGTTGTGCCTTGGGGAATTCGGAAGACTTTGAATTACATCAGCAAAAAATATAACCACCCTCCAATCTTTATTACTGAAAATGGTATTTACTATCCCTGTAACTATATGGTTTAGCTCAATATAGTACAATGCATAGTGTGCTAAGAAGAGCAGTACTTTTGCTATCCAAATAAAGTTGGAAACAAATAATTATTTTGGTCATATCGAACTTCTATTGTATATATATCCTGAGGTTTAGATTTCTGGTCCAACACGACAGGTATGGATGACGAAGATGATGGATCTGCCTCTATCCATGATATGCTTGACGATAAGCGTAGAGTTGCCTATTTCAAGAGTTACCTTGCCAATGTCTCTCAGGCTATTGAGTAAGTCAACATTTTCCCCTTCATTCATTTGTTTACAAGCAAAAAACACTTAGGAAACAGAGAATTTTGATCAAGTAAATCAGTGAGAGTGTTTTGTTAATGGCGAAAATTGAAACAGAGACGGAGTGGACATAAAGGGATACTTTGCGTGGTCGTTGCTGGACAACTTCGAGTGGGCGCAAGGGTATACCAAGAGATTTGGTTTGGTATATGTAGACTACAAGAACGGTTTAACCCGTCATCCAAAATCATCTGCTTATTGGTTCATGAAATTTCTGAAAGGTGATGAAGAAAACAAAGGTAAGAAGGAATGAAAAGGATAAAAGAAAACTAAAGCTACTACAACATTTTACATGAAATGTGTTGTGATGTTATAACTTTTGTACCAAATAGATCAATTAGTTGATGATGATGGTATAGAGCCATGACAAACCAAATCACTTGGGCTGCTCTTTGGTTTTAAACTCATATTTTGACTAAGTGTTTCGTATTACGTCGATTTTCTTCAGCTTCAGGGCATAAGATTGTTATTTTAGTAATGGATATATTTAATCCAAGATGAATATTTTACATTTCGTTTCCATGTTTAAAAGTTCTTTGTTTCAGCCCAAGAACTTTGGATGGATTTGTGTTGCTTCGTTACATGATGTAAATTATTCTATTTCAGTAAATTATTTTGATATTTCAGTAATCAGCCGTTAAACTCGCAGTTTTGGTGAGTCTCTTCTTGTTGTTTCTTTTCCTCACAATTTCTTTACTATCCCTCCCTAAACAATTCTTCTCATTTGCCTCTACATTCACATTACATGCTTCAATGTCTTTCGGTTTTTGATGATATCTTCAGCAGGCTAAGAATAAATTATTCAAACAGGAATTAATCCATTGAAAACAACGTCTAATTTCTATTGTTGACAAAAGAAAAAATGTCTAATTTCTATTTATAAAAAAATCATGGATTGAGAACTTACCTTATAGGCAACCTGAGTAATAGTGCTTGCTTCAAGATCTTCAGGTTGTGGAGCTATAGATAAATTCTGATTAGCATGTTAATTTCTAAAAAAGTTGAGACATATATTCAAATAATAAACATTTATAGTTTTATACACTAACGCCGAAACATACATAAAAATTAATGTATATACACGCATATGTCGATATATAATTTGGCTATTAAAGTTTGGATTGGAGACTTTAGCATGTAGTTGCAAAACGAAAAAATATCAAAAGGTAACAAAAATTACTTGATGATGATGGTGGTGAAATAACTAAACGACCATTCATGATGTATGTTGTTGTAGCAATGTTTTCACGTCCGACCTGGACCACTTAGTCCGGCCGGTTAATCTGCGACTCGGACCGTTCTCCGGTTTGAATTTAGTTCTAATATTCAGATATTTTTAGAACCTTTTAGTTTTTTTCAAGCGGAGACAAACGACTCAACACACCCCTTTCGTCTTTTCTGACATCTTGTCTCCTTTGAGTCTAGACTTATTGATGATCTCTTACTATCTAAGTATTTTTTTCGGTTTTATTTTGATTTAATAATTTTAATCACATTATTATTAAGTTAGATTTCATATTTTGTTAAACATGGTATAATTATTTTGTTTTTACATTTATAAAACTATATAATCTCTACAGATGCGTTAAACAAATTTTAATCATCTGACTAGCTATCGAATCCGATGACCCAAAAAGTAGTATGGTTCGAATTTTCCAAATTTTGTTGTAAATGAGCTGTTTGAGTCCCAATATTTTCATTTAAACGAGTACAAAAAAAGATCGGAAAATGGGTTCGGTATACCGGAATTACTCATAAGATATTAGTTCTTTTTAGCTATACCAACACTCCATTAGTAGATAAATTATCCCATAAGATTTCAGAAACAATAAGTTAAATGTTTCTTATAAACAAGTAATAGACCAGTTACTCAAAAAAATAAAATAAACAAGTAATAGACCAGTTGCTCAAAAAAATAAAATAAACAAGTAATAGACCTCTCTACGCACATGAAATATCTAATTTTAGATATTTGATAAGATTCATAAGTGGTCCCAAATCCAAAATACAATATACAAAATCTGCATATATAGTACTTAAATTATCCTAGACAAGAACCGTACAACACTTTACAATGTCACGTTCATGCCAAAAATTATGGAAGGGTATATAAGTAGGTGAGAGCACAAGGGAGGAGATTTAATAATTGGTAGAACAACTATTAAAAAAAAACAAAAAAAGAGAATAATAAAATAACTTAATTAAGGCAAAAAGAAAATGAAAATAGCTTCTCCTTCTTCTCCGATTCTCACCGTTGTCTCCAGCTCAGGCTCATTGGTGAGTTGACTTATATTTACGAACATGTTCTCTCTTTAAGAAATCTCTTCTCGTTCCAGTCTTCAAATCCGACCCAGTAAGTCATTTTTTTGTTTTTGTTACAAAAATTGGACATTGAAATCGAATCTTATGATCATTTGGAATAGGAAAGATTTGATCTTTGTTGTAGTTTTATTTTTTGGGTTACAAAAAGTTTCAGTCTTTTTTTCTTTTGATGATCTGATTTTGTTTTTTATTTTTTTTTCAGGATCCGAAAATTAGTGGATCACTTGGATCTCGAATCCTTCCTGCTACTCAAAGGTGAGTTTTTTTGTTTTTTTTTTGAAAATTTTGATTTATAGACATGAAATTTGATTGGAAATTCAGAAATCATGCGGGTAGTGAGTGATGATGATGGGGATAATGATGAATATGGTGTTAATGATGTGATGTTGATAATGAATAATGATGATGAAAATGATGGTCATTAATATGATGATGATCCAGGGTTTAAGGATCAGGGTTTGGGGGTTTAAAATGTCAGGATTTGTTTTGTGATGATTTGTGTGTCTTGGCTGTTGTTTATTTATATGCCCGTTGCTTCGATCCTTTGAACTTGAACCGCATTCGTAGCCCTTTGAACGTTGAACATGGTGATTACTGGGTATAAGAGAAAGCAGTGTTAGAAAGTTGTTCAGAATGTTAAAGCTTTGGACTTTATTGATAATTATGTTATTTCAGACTTTTGGATTTGTTAGGTCATTTCTTTGGCTTAATTTATGATGCTGTCCCTCTTCTTTAGAGTAACTATTTATGGCTTGTCTGTGTCTTCCTTGATTAGTGTTGGTAACTTTGTTTGAAGTTAAAGTTTTAGTCTAGAGACTTTTTCATAATAAGTTGTAGTTTATTCGTCACTTTTCCACCATAGGGTGACGCATAAGTATTTGTTTTACGAAAGTAATATTAACATAAGTCAAAACATTTGTGATTTTGCTTGTTTTCTTTGACTTCTAAGTTCTAATTGTGTATATATACTAGATCATCCCCATCAGACAATCTTCTCCTCCATAGGACAATGTCATCTAATTACCTGAGGCATGTGGAGTCCATGTCCCAGCTACCCTCAGGTGCCGGAAAGATCTCTCAGTTGAACGCCGTCGTTTTAGGAGAATCCCTTGCATCAGAGGACAATGATCTCATCTTTCCCAGCAAGGAATTCTCCGGCCAGGCTCTTATTTCCTCCCCTCAACAGGTCTTTCTCTTTACCTTTTAACATCAAATGAGTCCTAGATCAGCACACCTCATCTTCTCTGCTTGCTATTATGATCTGTAAATCATCTATCGTCTTGTTATTTGTATGCAGTACATGGAAATGCATAAGAGGTCGATGGATGACCCTGCTGGTTTTTGGTCTGATATTGCGTCTGAGTTTTACTGGAAGCAGAAATGGGGTGACCAAGTGTTTTCCGAAAATCTCGATGTCAGGAAGGGTCCTATTAGCATTGAGGTGGATATTTATTCTTCTTTTCGTTTCTCCTTATTTTTCTTTGCTCTATTTTCTGTATCTCCTATCAGAAAATCTTTCGTCGTGATGACATGTCTGAGTTCATGTTTGACCAGTGGTTTAAAGGGGGAATCACCAATATTTGCTACAACTGTTTGGACAAAAACGTTGAAGCTGGGTTGGGTGATAAAACAGCCATATACTGGGAAGGAAATGAACTTGGGGTAGATGCTTCCTTAACTTATTCTGAGTTGCTCCAACAAGTTTGCCAGGTATAAACACTATTTTTCGTCCTCTTCATCACCTCTAGAGCTCTATCTCATTAATTTGCGCGCGCTGCATTTTCCTTGTCCTTGTGCTGCAGCTTGCTAATTACTTGAAAGATAATGGAGTGAAGAAGGGCGATGCTGTTGTAATTTATTTACCTATGTTGATGGAACTTCCCATCGCTATGCTTGCATGTGCACGGATTGGAGCTGTTCATTCGGTAACCTGTGATTTCTGTACATTTGTCTACAATGCAACATCTACCTAATTCATTAGCACAAAACCAGTTACGAAAATAATTCAATTCAACCACAGGTTGTCTTTGCGGGATTTTCTGCTGACTCTCTTGCCCAAAGAATCATTGATTGCAAGCCAAAAGTGATACTGACTTGCAATGCTGTTAAAAGAGGCCCTAAGACCATAAACCTTAAAGCTATTGTTGATGCTGCACTTGACCAATCTTCTAAAGATGGAGTCTCAGTAGGTTTGTCCATTCACCAGAATCTGAATTTGCTCTATCTCTTTCCTGTATATCCTATTATCCTGTTTTTAGGCTTCAACTGGATGTTCCCAATTACCATTTACTGGTTCTTAGCTTCATGGTTTCCCTTGTAAACAAAAAGATGGGAAACAGACATTGGTTGTTGGTTTGATGGATTTATAACTGATGATTTTCTGGCTGTTGTCTGTTTTACTTCTCTACAACCAGGTATATGCTTGACCTATGACAACTCGTTAGCCACGACAAGGGAAAACACTAAATGGCTTAATGGAAGAGATGTCTGGTGGCAGGTAACTGCAGAGCTACATAATAATCGGCAAAATGCATTCGTTGTTTTATTTTTGCCAACGGTTCTTAAAGTCGTCTGTGGGTGGTGGTGATCTATGTAGGATGTCATTTCTCAATATCCAACATCGTGTGAGGTGGAATGGGTTGATGCAGAAGATCCCCTGTTTTTGCTCTACACAAGTGGAAGTACCGGGAAGCCAAAGGTAATTTTTGGTCCTTGGTTAGATTGAATCTCTAACCTATTTTTTTTTTTCTCTCTTTAATATCTTTAATATGGGTTCTTTGAAGGGTGTCCTACACACAACTGGAGGGTATATGATCTACACTGCTACAACATTCAAATATGCATTTGATTACAAATCAACAGATGTGTACTGGTGTACAGCAGACTGTGGTTGGATAACTGGCCATAGCTATGTTACTTATGGACCAATGCTAAATGGAGCTACTGTTGTTGTCTTCGAAGGGGTAAGCTATTTGAATTGTATATGGTTTTCTATCAATTAATGTCTTGAATCAATAATTAAGCTCTAGGTCCCTCTCCCATAGTAATACATTAAAGAGCTATCAGCATTTAAGCGAAAATGGGTTTTACTGTTCATATATTTCGTTTGGATTTAACTTCTTTGTTGGTTGTGATATTATTATCTGGTTTTGAACAGGCTCCAAACTACCCTGATTCTGGACGCTGTTGGGATATTGTTGACAAATACAAAGTTTCAATATTTTATACTGCCCCAACATTGGTGAGGTCTCTCATGCGCGATGATGATAAGGTAAGAAATATGCAATCTTTCTGTTGTGGTGAAAAGTAATCAGTATTGTAATGATTCTATGTAAGCTACAAGAAGTAGGGCTTTTTTTATTTGCCCTCTAATTTTTTATAGTAAATTAAGCCTTGTGTGGGGGATAATACTTTTAGGTACCTAAATCATTTACTAATTATTTCAACTTATTTGATTGTTATAGTATGTAACACGACACTCTCGCAAATCTCTACGGGTCCTTGGAAGTGTGGGAGAGCCCATCAATCCTAGTGCCTGGAGGTAGCTCTAATATCTCTAGTATATTCTCGCGATCAGTTGAATGGGAACTATATTTAATGGTTTATCGATTTTTTGATGTAGATGGTTCTTCAATGTAGTCGGTGATTCAAGGTGTCCCATTTCAGATACGTGGTGGCAAACTGAAACTGGTGGCTTCATGGTAACTCTCTGCTCTCTCTTTATCTCTCTTGAAACCTCTTGCATGCTCTCTCTCTCTCGCTCTCTCATGTGGATCAAAATGCATCGCAGATAACCCCACTTCCAGGTGCTTGGCCGCAGAAGCCTGGTTCAGCTACTTTCCCTTTCTTTGGTGTTCAGGTCTGTAATTTGTAGTGGAAATTTATATTTAGCGTATTGCTTCTTCCTAGAGATATTTGTCTTTGGGGAGGGCTTTACTCTCATCTATATCTCTCTGTGCATGCTGCAGCCTGTCATAGTTGATGAAAAAGGCATTGAAATCGAAGGCGAGTGTAGTGGTTATCTTTGTGTCAAAGGTTCATGGCCTGGGGCGTTTCGAACTCTGTTTGGGGATCATGAAAGATATGAAACCACATACTTTAAACCTTTTGCCGGATATTATTTCAGTGGTGATGGTTGCAGCAGGTGGACAATCTATCATAACTTTTTAGAAAACCCAATTTGTAGTTAGTGTGTCATTTTTCAACTATCGCTTAGATAATATCCAAATTCCGGTGATTTTTACTACGTTTTTAATAAGTTTGATTTTGTATTCCAGAGACAAGGATGGTTACTACTGGCTTACAGGGAGGGTTGATGATGTTATCAACGTCAGGTAGAACACAAAATTTATTATGATGTCAATAAATTCCCTAAACCTCCAATAGTATTCCTACCACTCGAATCTATACTTATGTTCGGGGTTTTTTCTAATGCACAGTGGCCATCGAATCGGAACTGCTGAAGTGGAATCTGCTCTGGTTTTACATCCTCAATGTGCAGAAGCAGCTGTTGTAGGCATAGAACATGAGGTATGTTGACTGACTATGCATAAGTGTTTGGGATATGAAGCACAGTGTGACACTGATAAGAGTTCATACGTACTGCTACATTAGCTTGTTAGTCATTCAGCTTAGATAGAAATGACTTATGTGGTTAGGGTGTCTAGTAAATTGTTCCTAAAGCAGGGAGAGTCTCCTGGCTCTCGATAACAACCTAGGAATACTTCCTGGTTCTTGGCTTTGACTTTGTTCTTGATTCTGCGTTCTTCGTTTACCAGTCTGAAATAAATGCAGAAATCAGTTTGCTTCTTATCAGACACCAAAGGAACTAACGGTCATGTCTCTTTCTTGTATCAGGTAAAAGGTCAGGGAATTTATGCGTTTGTCACTCTTCTGGAAGGTGTTCCTTACAGCGAGGAGCTTCGGAAAAGCCTAGTACTAATGGTCCGAAATCAGGTATGAATATATATTAAGAAAAAAAGTGAATAGCTAAGCTTTAGAGACGCTAAACTTTCGAAGAAGTGTTATTTGCACACTTTGATATCGTAATGAGTACTGGTATCAATTTTGCCATTTCCAGATTGGGGCTTTTGCAGCACCGGACAGAATACATTGGGCACCAGGGTTGCCAAAGACGAGAAGCGGAAAGATAATGAGAAGAATCTTGAGAAAGATTGCTTCAAGGCAATTAGAAGAACTCGGAGATATTAGCACACTCGCGGATCCTAGTGTAGTTGATCAGCTTATTGCACTTGCTGATGTGTGATGTAACCATAGCATATGAGCCAATGGAGAGTAATGGAGTTTTGTGCACCTCTATGTTTTCAGGTGTCTTATAGAGGGAATGGTACAAAAATCTGAAACAAGATTCAGGTGTTTGTGAGGAAATAAAGTAAGCTGACTATATTGTTGTGTTTTTTAATAAAGAAATTTCTGTTTCATGAATTTGGTTTTGGATAAGATGGTCATAGGAAATTTGATTAATCAAAAGTTACAAAAATATAAACATCGGCGTTTGTTTATTTGTTTAACTATTTTTGTCGTCTTGACATCAATGACGTGGCGCAAGTTTGGAGGAATATATATATATTTTTTTTTCATATTACTAACTTTTTCCACATATTAACTATTAAGTGATGGTTTAGTTAAAAAAAATATTTTTATAAGCGATGTTTTACAGTTTAATACAAAAATTTGTTTTATTTTGTGACCATTGGTATTCTGTAGATTGATTTGTTATTGGTTGAATGGAATTTACGAAAAAAATATTATATATATTAAATCTATACCTCGTTATTTACTAAATTATACTCCCTCCGTTTCAGTTTAGTTGTCGTTTTAGGATTAAAATTTTGTTTCATAATAGTTGTCGTTTTAGGTTTTCAATGCAAATGTTTGGTGAAAATTCATGTTTTGTCATTAATGTTTTAATGTTTTGACCAATGAAAAAATTATAAAATATATTAATAAAGGATAAAACAAAAAATTTAATGATTTTCTTAATTTGTGTGCGAAAACCTTAAACGACAACTAAAACGAAACGGATGGAGTATTTAATTTAGAAAAAGATAAATTTTAAGTGATTTCTGAATCTATGTGTCAAACTTTTAAACATTTTAATTTCAAACAGAGGAAGTATAGAAATAGAACATTGAATTTAACCAAAACATTTGCAATTTAAAATTTTCTATAAGTTAAAATTTTTATATACAATTAACAAGCCTTTCACCCCAAATTTAAACTTTGGCAGAATAATAATGCAAATCACTAGGATATTTATTTTTGTCGTCTTTTAAATGTTTGATAAAAATGTTAAATATTAAATAATTGTTAGAAGCACTGTAAGCACTAAGCACGATTAACAGAGTTGACCAAAGGACAACTTAAGGTTCTCTCTCTTATCGCATCTCTATCTTTCAGAGAGAGAGGGTGATTTCCGGTTCACCGGAATCTACCTCCGGCGTTTGCCGTTCTTTTGCTTTGTAATATATTTTAGTTCCGGCTTTAGTCGGATTTCGTTTTCCGTTTTGTCGGACCTTTCTCCGGTATATCCGATTCCTCTTTCTACATGAATCAATTCAATTTCCTCTTGCCATACTTTGATCTCCCCGTCCCACCGTCAGCTTGGCTTCAATCTTCTATCGGAGTAATATCTTCGCCGCTTATATGACTCTGTTGTAGTCGGAGACCTTCCTTAGGTCTTAGGCGGAGCTTCCAATTAGGATATCGGATTGAGATGTGAAGATTTCTTCCAATCTTCTTCGGGCTTCTCTCAGACGGATCAGGTGGACTTCATTCTGATCTGCAAAGGCGAAATCTGTAGAAGGAGTATGGTGGTGGATGCTTGAAGCCGGCGGCGGCGCTGCGTCATCTCGTGGATTTGGCCGGCACCGACTGCTCCTTTTTCTCTTTCTTGCGTGTTAACACGTGGTGTTACACGTGATACCTTTTAATCTTAATCTTTTATTTAATTTAGTTTAAGATTAAGCAGTTTTATGTTAATCAAGCTAAGGTTGTATATGTTGGGGAATGGGCTTCTGTATTTTCACTGCTTTGTACTGCCCATTGGGCTTCCATCTTAATGGATCTGGCCGACAAAAAAAAAAAAAAAGACCAAAGGACAAAAAGAAAGAATGATTGGAAGAAGTTGGATTGGTGCAATTTGTTCTTAAATAATTTTCTAAAGAAAGAGTAATGTTGATGTCTTGATGAAAAAGGCAGTCGTAGTAGACTTTCAAAAGTTCTTTACCAAAAAAACAAGAAAAAACAAAGAGTGGACTTTCAAAATTGTCGGCCACATGAAGGTGGTCAGTATTCTTCCACATATGCATTAAGGTCCTTAATCAAGTCAAAATTGTAGTGTTTTCTGATTAAAAAAAAAAAGTGTTAAGGAAACGTTGGTATAGATGGTACAAATTTTAGAAAATTTCATGTTATGAAACCAAAATAAAACATATATCGATTTGCAACACTCAAGCCTCTTCTTTCCTCTTCAAAATTCTAATGATGCTTTATTTCAATTTGAATCAAGACCTATGCGGCAACTCTACCCATGCTTCCACCAGTCATTAAAAAGTTCTTTAATAAACAAGTTGGTGGAAGAATTATCATAAAATAAAAAGAAAAGAAAAAAAAAAGGTTGGTAGAAGCTAAATATATATATTTGTGAATACATGGAGGATTAAGAAGAGAGATAGATTTGTGAATAGAGAAGCATGGCTCAGAACAACTCACAAGTCTCTACAATTCTATTTGCTTTGCTCCTTCTCTCTTCTCTATTTCTCAGCCAACCACAAGCTTTCTCTGTTGGATTAACATTACACCGCAAAATCAGTGAGTTCTTTGTTACATACATACACATATATGTTGCATTTACATATATTCTTTGTTTCTTCTAAAGCATATGTATGTGCATATACATGTGATTATGTGAATGTCTTGATGTTTTAATGGGTCTCTAAAGGTTATTTTCTTTACATTTTATTGCTCGATTTGATATTTGTTCACTATTTATTAGAGTTTAACGTATTAATCGTGTGTGTTACTGTTTTATAGTTTATACTCTCTCAATAAGAATTTGGCTAAAATAAAATCTGCATCATCCATTACGTTGGGGGATAGTTCATCGAGTCATGTTCCTTAACCAACAATTCTAAAAAGACCATAATCACATTCTTACTAATCAACTTTTTATATATATATTTTTAGATTGTTCTTAAAAAAAATGTTTGTACGACTCTTCTTATTAGTGTGTGTTTATGATGAATTGCAGTAGGAGGGAAAGATGGGTTGAAACAAATTGGATTCCAAAAGAAAGTTCAAATGAAGCCGAGCGATTCGAGGAGAGGACCATCAAGGGGTCGTCCTCCGGGCTCACCAAGACTATTATGACCCACTTGTTAATTAGTCATTGTCTACTATGTGCATGCTCACAATACATATATTAATAAAAATTCGAATGGAAACAAGAAATTGCGCTCGTAACATATTTTTATATTCAAGTTTAGATTTGAATATATATCAATATAATTTGTTATCAAAATATAATATTTGCTATCTTCAAATTGTAAATTCATATATAGAGCCTTTTTTAAAATTCAAGGATCATCTATATCACTCTTGTTAAACAAGAATATATATATATATAACTTGAAACCATAACAATAAGAAAATGTGCTTCCACCATAATTGACATCAACAAATGCCCACCCTCGATATATAAGAATCCATGTATTCAGCACTAGGTCCTCCTCTAGATTCAGATTGTCGAAAAATACGATTAGATGTGGCGTGTATAGCTGATTGCAATAATATGTTGTGTATAAAGCAGATATTTGAAACGAAAGCATGATCTTCTAATACTCCTTTCTTTTCATAGCCAATTAGCAAATTCCAAAGGAAGCTTCCTTTACTGTTTCAAAGAAATGTTGAAAGCGCCAAACGAGATCACACAAAAGTATTTTGATTCGTTATTCTTGGGGAATATATATGTTGAGTTATATGGTAAACATACCAAGTTAATAATAGAAGATGACCAACGAAAAGGAAGTTTATTGTACTGCCATAGAAGAGTCTATCGAATACATAAATAACTCACAAAGATGCATAAAAATAAAGTAAACCCAAAATCGATCGATAACCAAGTGATACTTTCCTGCCAAGACGATATGATGCTGCAGCATCACTCGTGCATCTTTCTTGATTTGTACTGAACTTGGAACATAAGAGCAAACATGTGGGGAACAATATATGTATGAACTTGGTACTCCAAGATACACTTCTTTAAAGTATCCATCATTTCCAATGATGTAAGCTAAGTTGCGTTTGAGATGCCCTCCTTTAATAAGAACCACAACGACTTTTTTCTTCTCGTCAATGAAGAAACTCCTAAGGCAGCGATTAAACTGAAAACCAGTGAGTGGTGTCATATCAACCGCTAAAAACAACTTGTTCCACGACACCGCATTAGGATCAATCTTAGTCGTTATCCATACCTCCATGATTAATGTTTCTAACACTAGACAGAGTCACAGTATCACTGATATGACAATGAGAGTGGAACGGTAGATGAAGATGCGGTCCAAATTTCTTTGTTGTAATATGAAAACAGATCAAGAAATCAGAAAAGTTTTATTCTTGGTCCTCCTTGTATATACATCTCTCTAGCAAACCAGTAAGTATTTCCCTTGAGAGTCACGCCAAGTTGAAAAAACCGGTGATTTCCAGTCACGAGTGAAAAATAAAAGCTTCCATGAATCGGAGTTAAAATTGTAGATTCAAGACCAAGAATTTCGGAAGAAAGATTTATCATGAAACACCAATACTTATCCAAGAGCGTACTTTTCATCTATATGGTAAGCTTTTCTGGTTTTGATACATCTTGTTGCCCACAATAAGGATTACAAACCAAAAGCCTGATGCTAATGGTGATGCATAACAAACAACCGTCGCAGTAAAAGACTCTATAGTTATATTATCAACTCGATCATCTTTTAAGCTAATGAGTTTAGCTTTATGCATGAAAGATGATTTAACGTTGTTTTCGTTGTTTCTTTGTAAATTCCATGGAGATTAACATTCATTAAATAAACTTTATAATCCATCATCATGACCACCAGAAACTCATTATTTTCCTTTGTTACTATTCTTTTACCAAAGTGCTTATTTGTGAAGTTTTGATCGTAGGTTAAAGTGTTCTAATTTTTACAAGTTGATCTCACTGCTCCCATAGACGTTACCGGAACCCTAGAGAGTATCTCTTCCAACAAATCTCTCGGAAAATCGGACATATCCATAATCCATTGTTTGAAGCTGTTGTTTCTCACAAGTTAGGTCAAGCTACTTTTTTCTCTGATTTCTTTTTGCTGTGAAGATATAGAAATTAAAAACTTATTGTAGTCGTCGCCTCGTGGGCTTCAAGTCTAGGAAAACAGAAACCAG